GCTATAGAAATAAACTGAATAGAATAGAATTAAGTGGTTTTCTGTGCAGATAAACTGAGCAAAGCATCAAATAATCCTGATTCTAACTCAGCCATTAAAAACCAGCAGCAGGTCAGAGTCAGCAGGAGCTTCAGGAACCGTCCTTCCTCATATCTTCTGATCTCAGAGGTTAACAGGTCGGTGTCTCCAGGTTCCTTAGAAGCGAGTCTTGAAGCCAGAGATCTCCACCTCATCGATGGCTTTATGGTTGGTGAACTTGGCTTTGGAGATCCGACTCGTTGGACTTCCTTCTTTGCTCAACCACACCTTCCTGCAGGAGGGAGAAGAACGGAGCAAATCATGCTGCAGGTCAGAAAGATCTGGGATCAGGTTCCATCATGGACATGTTGGGAAAAGAAAGAATCAAACCTAAACGCCACTGAGACTTCTGAGTCCAAGACTAAGAAAAAAACAATGTGAAGAGAAATCAGAGCAGAGAATAATCCACAGCTGAGGTGTCAGGGTTGGGTTGGGGTTTTGAGGGCCTAAATGCAGAGGTGAGTTCTTGAAGATTTAATGAAATAAATGAGGCAAAAATCCAAAGAACAAATTACAAGCAACCAAAAACCAGACAACTTCAGAGGAAACCTCACATAGGGAGCCAGGAAAAGCACAATCAGGGGACAAAACAAAGACCCGACTAATGAGCCGATTGGGAGCAGGTGTGAACAGAGGAGTCTAGAAGGGAGCTGGGGAAAATAAGACCAACACAAGAGGGCAGCAGAGGGCAAACAAGAAACACCTAAGAACTCAAATACATCCAGAAAACACAACTAAAGAGGAATTAAACCAATAAAACTATTTTTGTTTCAAAGGCTTATTTTAAAATCTCAAGAATTAAAGGAAACAAGAAGAAATTCAGAGAAATAAAAGAGAAATGAAACCAAACTGCAGCAGATAAGAAAAAAACGGAACCAAAAATCACTTCTTCTTCTGGTTGGATTAAATATTTTTCCTATTTTCTCAAATAACAAAAGCATTTCCCTCATTTCTCTTTTTACTAATGATTTCAGTTTTTCTTTATTTCAAACCTTGAAGATAGAAAAACAGATTTTTTTAATGTTAAAGGAAAATTTCTGTCAGCAGGAATAACCGATGGATCATTTTTTATACCTAAAACTAATATGTTTGCGGTGATTTAATGAATTTTGCGTAAATCAGTAAAAAATAAATAAAAACGCTAATTTGTATTGCGATCACTGAGTCTAGGAGCGGCCATTTTTCCTCCCTCTGGACTCTGTAACAGGAGGCAGAATTAAATCTAGTTAAAAAGTTTGATTTGTTGCTGCAGGAAACCATGTTATGGTGAAGTTAATGATCTACTGAAGCTCCTCGGTTTGTTTTTATTGGAAATAAATCAGCGAATAAAAGAAAACGAAACTAAACTGCAGCCAAATCTGGTTTTAATCATTTACCCTCTATTGGTTTATATAGTTTGGAGCTTTTTCTCCTTCCTGGTTGCTCAGAGCTGAAACCAGCTACCAGCCTCCGGCACGGTGGTGGCGCTGTTTAATAGTGGTCCTGAGGGAAGATGTTTTTTTTTTTTTTTCTCCTTTTTTGAAACAAACTCATCCAGACCTTCCTCCTTAGACCAGCTTCATCTCTTTGTAGAAGTTATAAACAGTTTTGAGGTAGGTGGCGCTAACGAGTCTCATTAA